CAGGGGGGCTCTCCAGATAGGGGTGACATTGCAGACTGTTTCAATCGGTTAGAGATGGAACGGGATGAGCTGGACTGGAGTGACTGGACCTACTGGGTTTCAGAGCTACTAGTGCTTAGCTTCCATCATTCCTGCAAGTGACATCAGCCAAAATAAAGATGATTAAAAAAGAAAAATACGGGCAGGTGCTTCACCAGCCTGTATTTTTTTCTTTTCCACCAGAAAAAGGAGAAGCTAGGCGGAGCATCAGGCCGCGGGCCTCGATGCTGACGAATGGGATGGAGCGCTGGGGGTGACTGACAACCCTTCCAAGCAACCGATTGGTCAAATCACATGAGCGGCATCACAGCCAAGCTTCTGCTCACCTGCTGTCCCATTTGGGATCGAGGGAAAACGCAAAAGGTATTTCAAAAAGGGACGATAAAGACACGTGCGTGCACACGCACACACAGACACACACAAATACACACGTCAGAAACATAAACTCCGGCCATGTTCACAAGACCCTGGTGATGTGTGCCCTCAGCACGGACCGGGACCGCCCCCCCACCAGAACTGTCCCAGCCATGGATGAACACGAGGTCAAGGGTCGTGTCAACAGGGTGACAGTAATAAGGCTTCTGTGGTCTTTTTGGGCTGATGTCATACCAAACGGGGATTCCTTCTGATTTCTGAGTGCAATCCACACGTTCTTCATGATAGTGTCCTTCGACCAAAACAATGCACCTATACATAACCCAGTGTTTCTCCATACTCAGCGGGACCAAACAGTAGTGTTGAAGGTGGGGCACGGGGCCCAGTATCGAGAAACACTGGTAATAATCTGCAGCATAATTCCATAAGTCTGCCAAATTCCCCCAGGGGTTTACTACATCTCAACTTATCAAAAATTCATTAATTGGCAAGGATCCTAATAAGTAAATTGTTATGCATGCAGGGAGTCCCAGGAGAGCGTGAGCTTAGCGTCACCCCTTCAGGTTGCAGTGTAAACAGAAACCTGCAGCATTATTTTAGCACCTTCTGGAGCTGGCTGCTTTCCAGCGGGCGCTCTTTGAAATAAATCCTCCTTTACCGCATGTTTATTCTGAAAGCCAGACATCTGCCTTTGCAGGGTGACAAGAGGAGCAAAGTTGAAGCTGTGTTCAAAATGACATTCGGTCGCTTTAAATCGTGTTTGCCCAAAAAGTCTACAGCAGTCCCCGAATGGGAGACAAACACCGAGATAACAAGACCTTCAAAAACACGGTTATTAACCTGCTTTTACATTAAGCCCAACATATTTTAAGCCATTATACCAAAACTATCCAATTAGATGTCACGTTTAGGTCACATGACAAAAGGCCTCTCATGGCCAAGGCCGTTTCTAGCTTTTTGGGGGCCCTACAAGATTCTGTTTGGGGGCCCCTATTTTGCTAAACTGCAATTGGGGGGGGGGAAGTTCGAACCCTTAAAGATGATCCATGGTGATGTATCAATCTGTTACACTTTAAGAAGAAAATAGGCTAGATTTCTGGATCTAAAATTCAAAGATCTCAAGATGATCCAAGCAATTTAAACCTACAGAAAATGATAATTAAATGTAAACAGGGAGGCTCCTCTATGTCCATAAATGCAGCATTTTCCTTAAAAATGCTTTTTTAAATTTAGGAAACAATGTTCTTCAACACGAAAGATAACAACATAAAAATTCTCTCCCCTCCCACCTAAAACTATAACAGATAGAAGGGATAAGCCCTCTAGATGCCATCTAGGGGTGGTTGTGGCTCGGATCTCCTCCCACCGGGACCTGTGGCTGTCAGCCATCCCATCATCGCTGTCGGCAGACGTCACTCATCGCACCACAGCCGGATGGTGACTTTGATTTCCCCACAAACACAAGCCGCAGCTTCTCTGTCGTCACAGCTTAGCTTTATTTACATCCTACATTTAATTTTTATGAGGGGGCTTAGCTGGCTACAAATGAAGCCAGGTCATTTTAATTCTCCCCAAATATACTGAGCTTGAACCTGCAGTTTGGGGCCCCCTAGTGGCTGTGGGGGGGCCTATGCATCTGCACAGTCCGCATATACGCATATAGCAAGAAACGGCTCTGGTCAGGCCTTCCAAACCAAAAAATTGACAAACACCGTTACATGAATAGGCTAATAAAGAATACGGTGCCATCTAGTGGTCATAGTCTTAATTACATCACGCATTTATGTCACAGTTCTCTACAAAATGTCACATGAATACATTAAATATTTAAATGTCCTCACTGAAAGATGTCACAAATGTTAGGTTGAAAAGAAACTTAAAAGAAACTACTACAGAGGTGTATGTGTAAGTTGCAGTAGCAACTTGAACTTATATTTATGAACAAAAGCTAATTTATAGCAGATGCACAGAAACTGGCAGAAAGTGCAGGCAAAACACCAGAGGAGCCAGTGAGGCGGCTGGCTGAGCCTGAGAGTGTCTTTAGGGGCAACTTACCCAACGTCGTCCATTATGCATCCAGACCACTTGTTGTCACACTTGCACTCCCCTGGAAAGAGATCAGACATCACTGGTTACATGGTCTGACTGGTCACATGGCCTGGGTCTGTGTCGTTAAAGACACTCCCCTCACAAACTGTAACCCCAATCACCACGCGCAGCACAAATGACAGCCATGACTGACATACCGCTCATGATCCTTTTCTTGTCTGAAAATATGCCAATGTTTTGTCCCAGAGACTGTGCCAGTGTGATTGCCATTTCATCTGCTTTCCCATACTAAAAGAAAACAAACAGCATTAAAATTCATAAACCAAACATGGTTATTTTCAACAGACACATCTAAATGAACTGCAAAGTTATTTTGTACATGGGAAGTTTTGGGGCAATTTACACAGCTTAGTATGTAATGACCCAAATTTACCATTGGTCAGATACCACCCTGGTTAGTAACCTTAACAAATAAGAGGACATAAAACAAGGAGACGCGATACCTCGTTGACTCCTCCCCCTTTCGTCAGCGAACACACGCCTCCCAGGTAAGATGCTCCTCCCCGGCTGCTGTGGAAGCGGCTCCCCCTGGTGGACATAAGAGAAGGTGCCGAGAAATACCAGCACAAACCAGATCAAGAAAGACTATCACATTTTATCGCGAATTTCAAATCCTAAATGTTGTCTTTCTAGAGTAACAGGACTCTCCGAAGTGGCTGGTCTCCCTCACTTACGAGAACAGGTGCACCGAGTCGCACTTCTCCTTGATGAAGTCGCGCCGGTACTTCATGAATTCGCGCAAGGTGACCAGCGGGTCGTCATTGATGTTGAAGCGGTTTTCGGCAGCCCAGGTCTCCATCGCCACTAGGACGATCCGCGTTTTCAGCTGCTCTTTGAATATCTGCAACCAAACCAGAGAGTGTCAGCAAGTAGCCTCACCTCCTACTAGCTACTTGAGAAATAGATATTTAATAGGATTTCCCAAGTGAAAGCGTGTCACACGGAAACTGAGCAAAAGAAACAGCGGCGCCGGGGTCTGCTGCTGTTTCCTTACTATGCAGATAAGATACCGGTGACATTGCGGCGCCCGGTGAACCGCAGCCGTGAGCTTTAAACCTGCGCTTATCTGAACCCAGAGGTAATTTAATAAATGACATCCAACATCCCTGAAGGAAATGAAATGTCAAGTGCCTTTTTGTGTCACAGATACAAGAAAAGATACATTAAAATATATGAAACTATTAAAACGCAGCTTACTATATCAGCCATGTTCACGACGGACTTGGCGTAGTTATTTGTCTGTCCAACAGAAAGCCGATGCTTCTTATACTGTAAGGAATAACAAACATACAAACAAATAAATAATTTTGGAATAGTTTAAAATGATATAGAAGCCAGTGTTTAATCCCACTAAAAACGTTAAGAAGAAAAGGAATTAGGCATATATGTGTTTTAAGAAATGTAATTTTACCATCAGGTGATCGTTGATAACCATAAGCTCTATATACTTGGTCTCATCTTCAACCCGGCGCGAAAGCCTCGATACCTAGCAGGAAAAAACACTTTACAACAAGTCCTCGGTGGGCCAACGTGAAAGATCTCAGCGACAGCTTGTGTGGGCGACCTGGGTGGAAACCAAGAATCTTTACAGTGAATCGGTTCTTTTGAGTACATTAATTCTATTAAAAGGCTGAATCGTTCGTTGATTGTTTGCGACAAATTGGGATCCACCTCGAATAAACTATTTTCCCATTCGTAAGTGGTCAAGTCAACTGAGATATATATGTCGTATGCATAATTTTATATTTAAGGATTCTAAGGATAAGTGATTATAGTAGACGGATTGATTAAATTTTTACATTATATTCTCATTGAACGAACTGAGCGCAATGAATCCTTCATGAGCGGCCTGACTGCCGGCAGGGTCCGACTTTGATGAGCCCTCAATATGTTAGTGTGTTTTTATCACTTTGTATACGAGGGGTTCAAGAGGGGACCTGTGTAACCTTCAATGTGGGGGGAGCTCACCTGTCTCTTCCTTCTCCTGAGCACCGTTCTGGGAGCGGAGGACGCTGGCATCTCCGGGACAGCGACTGTAAATCACGATGTCAGATGCGTCATCAACCAACTACGTTATGAAAAATATCAGGCTTGTGTGGAGCCATTGCTATGGATTAAGGAGGGACATTTCTCTCCTCCACATAAATATTTATAAGGTAGAACACGGATGGCTGTTTAATTCTAACGGTACATGCTGGAATTGTGTCACATGAATCCAGTTTTGCCTGTCTGTACCAATTTTACAGAAGGCCTTTCAGCAGAGCCCCGCGAATTTGAACAAGCATCCTGAGGCATTTTAATACACGCACTTTATACGGGTGATGGGAAGCAGCTTCCCCCGGGTCCCTGCGCTGTAACTCACCGGGAAGCTTGTCCGCCGGCGGCTCGGAACCCATCGACTTGTAAATCATATGAACATGCATGTCACCCTGTTAAAAAAAACAACAACACCAGTTTTATTGTAGGGTCGGCGAGCTTTAACATTTCCCGGCATGCTCCGCCCTGTCTGCTGTCATTATGCTATGTACCCGATTGTCGCCGGAGCCCTTAGCCTGTACCTTATACCTGTCTTGTATACGATCCTTGCCTTATCCTCGCATTTCTCTTTGCAATGTGTAATTCCTTACCATGCATGCAGCTTAGTTTTAGGCTAAATTATAAGACGGAACAACGGTGACGTACTAAGGTGAAGGTCTGCACCGCACAAAATGCAGGATAATATTTAGAGAGAGTTAAGATACAGAAACTGAAATCAGGAAAAAAAAAAAAAAAAAAGAACAGCGTATGAGTCCAGAAAAATTGGGCTTCAATATTCATTTATTGATTTCTATGGTTATTAATTTATTTGTCTGGTCTAGGGGGCTTGAACCAACCATCGACTATTATAGCGACTGTGATTTTTTTACCAAGTCAAGTATGTTTTGCTTCAGGAACGAACACATGCATTTACACAGAGGATTAATTAGTCATTTAAATATACTAACTAGCAAAAGGGGGGAAATGACGCTAAGTGATAACTTAACCAAGGAGCAAGGCTTCTGACGAGTTGAGCTACCTATCGAGACGTGCTATCGAGCATTTCTGCGCATGTGCAGTTCCACCGTTCTAGGATTAGGTTTTAGGGGTTAGAGTTAAGGTAAGGCTTTTAGGGGTTTTGGGGGGGGGGGGTTAGGGTTAGGGCTATCGATTAGCACTACGGCAGCCTAACTCGACAAAGTAGCTCAACTCGACAGAACACCGGCACCGAAGAAGACGCTTACGCGTGTTCTGTCAATCACAGCCTTACTGCGCTTTCCATTGGGTATTTTGTAAGATTCCCCCCGCTATGGTTAGCTCGGACTGTGATTTGTCAGATAACGCTAAATCCCGCCCACCGTCTATCGCTCTACGTCATCTGCTTATGGCCTTAGGCCAAATCGGAAGGCATCTGCAATAAGTACTGAAAAGGGGACAAAAACAACTTGGACACTCATATAATGGCTGTTGCTCGGCTTTAAACAACCACACGGAAAGCCAGGTACGTGGCTGTATGTAGCTGTTAGTAGCTAATGCGGGAATTGGCCGAAAGACTGAGAGCGACAGGTCGTGCTTGGTGCCGTTTCGCTTTAGCCGCGCGGCTAGCTGGCTGGCGGCCCGGACGCGCGCGACGCGGACTTGGTGTTTAATGCTTCCCTCCCGTTTTCTCTCTTTCTTTAAATGAGGGCTTTTCTGACATGGCAGTAGTGTGGGCGGATGTATTGCTTAACTACAGACGTTCATCTTATATAAGTTAAATATGGTGGTTTCAGTGTGTTAAAGAGTGGATTACAGTATTAATCCAGAACGTCCAGATGTACTGTTGTCATCATCATTATTATTATTTTTATATTATTAATAATAATAATAGAGGCATCCCCAGGGGGACCACGCACCCCTAAAGTACGTCTTTATATCAGGTTTCTGCCTGTTCTTGTCTCACCAGGAGTTTTCCTCTACTCTTCCCAGGACCCCTTAATTACACACAGCAGCAGCTGGGAAAATGTCCTGCCGTGACATCCACGCCACAAACTTGTTTGCCTTTCTCATCGCCCTGGTGTCAGTGAGCGGCTTGGTGGTGGCGACGCTGGTCCCACAGTGGCGGATCACCCATCTGATCACGTTCAACCGCAACGCCAGGAACGTGACCGTCTACGACGGGCTGTGGACTAAGTGCGTGAAGCAGCAGGGAAGCACAGGCTGCTATCTCTATGACACCGAGTGGTACAGCCGCGTGGATCAGCTGGACTTGCGTGTGCTGCAGTTCGCCCTCCCCTTCAGCCTCCTCTTCTCCAGCCTCTCGCTGCTGCTCTGCATGTGCGGCATGTGTAAGACCGCCTGCTGCTCCACCAAGCCAGATCCGGCACCCTCCAACGGCGGGAACTGCCTGGTGAACAGCGCAGGGTGCCACCTGGTGGCCGGAATGCTGCTCTTCGTGGCCGGCGCCATCGCCATGGCGCCCTCGGTGTGGTTCCTCTTCTACACCGAGGTGCTGAACAAGCGCTACGACAGGCTGTTCGCGAACGACTTTGCGGCCTACGTGGCCATTGGCTGCTCCGGGGGGCTTCTCCTGGCTTCCCTGCTCTTCATGATGTGGTACTGCATGTGCAAGACCCTTCCATCCCCCTTCTGGCCTCCTCTGCCGGCCGTGTCTGCCAGCCTCTCCACCCAGCCCCTCATCTCTAATGGATACCCATCTCCCGTGTATGCCCCACAGCCCTTACTTCCCCAGGGCTATGCCCCGGTGCCAGTCACCGAGCCCCAGATCTTTGCCTCGGTGCCGGTCACCGAGCCCCAGGTCTTTGCCCCGCTTCAGTCCTACGCGCCACCCTTGGGCTACGCCCAGAGTGTGGCGCCTGCCCCGAGCACATACAGGCCTGCTCACTGCGGCTCCGAGGCAGGCTTCTCTCAGGCTTACACCACGCACAGCTATGCCCCCTCGCAGGCCTATGGCTACGGCAGCCAGCGGTACTCCAGACGCTCGCGCCTCTCCACCATCGAGATCGACATTCCAGTGCTGACGCAGGCCAACTGAAGTGGGACGGCGTGCCGGACGCGCAGTGGAGGAACACTGGGTGTTTACAGCATGCTGCTCTGTTAGCCCTCCAGTAGCGTGAGAAGTCATTGGTGCCACCAATCCAGCAGACCCCTCTGCTGTACCAGCAGAGCTGGACAGTCTGAGCCACTAAAATTGGCAGCATTTGCCATCTTAGATAATTTAGGTGCTTAGCAGATCTTCTTTTATAAATATTTCCAATGGTCATTTATTGGGGTTAAATGCCTTTGGGGTGGGAACCAATTCCATCCCGGGACTGGATCTTGCTGTCTAAGTCCAGGTCTGTAAGTATCCTGCTGGATGCTCCCAGCTGAGTATGTGGGACATCGTCTGGCCGTCCTTTGATTCCCCCAGTCTCAAAGCGAACTTGGCTTGGACTCTCTGGAATCCAGTGTGCATTCCAGTGATGACACACTGATATAATCACTCTAAATGGGCCAGTTTTCCTCCTCTTAATGACAGTATGTGTTACGATGTTATAAAAATCTCATTAAGGACACCATCTTTAAAATGGAACATATTTGACACTAGCTAGTGGACTACTGCACTTTCCTAAGTTCTGAACACTAAGACTACTTCCTTTTTACTGACTACTCTAATACATATTTGTATATTAAACACCACTACTTTGTTACAAACTTAGACTATTCTGTAATATACTGTTTGCTTCTGTAGATTTACGGTATTTTTTAAATGTACAGCATTGCCATGAAGCACCGCAGCTGTACTGAAAACACTGTGAAGTGAGGTAATGTGCTCATGCCTGACTGTGCCATAGTCTGTTTTCTGTGATGAGCTGCTCTGTGAAGCAATTTTCTTTGTGCATAAGAGTCTTTTACTGTAAGTGCGATGCCCGGTCCCCAGCTAAATTCAGGTTATTCGGTTTTGCCTTAAAAACTGGCAGCTTGTTTTACATGAATCATTAATGTTCAGTGAAATGCATGCCAGGTTCCAATAAACTTGCACTAACTTTAGCTTCTCCCTGATTCCATATCACAAACACCTCTGTAGACCCAGCAGATACGGCCCTTCTAAGGTGCATCTGCTCTCTGGGGTGTTTGACGCACTTCTTTCTGCTGTTATTTTCGTTTGCCTTGGTGTGAGTAATCGAGTTCTTGTGATGTCATTTCCTGTTTTCTTTAAAGCAGCCTTCAGCTATGTAGTCTTTCGGGAGGGGAACACGCCTTTATGAGGAGTGCTTTCAATAAACGTATTTCAGTGCGAGTGTGCCTGATTTACGTGCATAATGACACTATTTACTTACACTTAGAATAATTAAGTATAAAGTACAGCCATCCGTGGCTTGCTGACGGCCAGCCTGAGTCCCCAGCCGTGCACTAACTGCAGGTGAGCGTGGGAACAGTCGACGCCGCAGCCCCAGCTGTGTCTGCCCGCCAATCCCGCCGTTTCCAGCTGCGTTTATTATTCAGCAGCTGTGCGAAGAGCAGCGTTGCCACAATGCAAGTGACCCAGAAGGGCGGTCTGCCAGACCACCGTGTCTTAACGGGACCGTCGGCATCTCCACAGCAGGCGAAATCCTGCCCTCGAGAGGTGTCTAACGCGGCACGCCCCCGCCGGGCCTGTAACGCGGCACGCCCCCGCCGGGCCTCTAACGCGGCACGCCCCCGCCGGGCCTCTAACGCGGCACGCCCTTGCCAGGTGTGCCGGATCAGAAGCCCCCCCGGTTTTCGTCAGAGGTGCTCAGGGGAAGCGGCATCCATCTCGATTAGCACTAGCTAATTAAAAGCTGAATGCGCTCCTGGAGAAACAGCATGTACAAGACGGCCTGCCCTCTGCCGCACACGGGCGGGCATGTAGATCGTATAAAGAGCAGCATCCTTGTGCTGGCCTGAGGGTCGGGCCTCAGACTGCAAGGCACAGGTCCGGCAGATGGCAAGAGAACATCTCTGCTGCTTTACCCCTGGAGGAACCTGCTGATGCCTGGATCTCCGCAGGATCCCCTGCAGCCGATCTGCTGAGGGGACCCGGGGTCCTCGCTGGATTCCGCCCCGCAGCCCAGCCACCGCACCATCTGATGGTGTCGGCGACCCCTGAACCGCGGTCATCTCTGGCGTGTGCGAACGCGATTTTCACATCTGCTCGCATCTTCGCCCAGAAGCCACCTTCCTAATGAGTCTCCTTATGCCAGCTTCCTTGTGGGAATGGAGTCTGGACAGAAGCTGGTGTACCAGCATCACAGGATCACAGAATTACTGCCATTAACTGCCATTAAGATCCTTCTGAAATAAGCTTAGATTGTTAATAAATGGCTTTATCTATTGGACACTCATAACAGTGTTTATTAAAATATATACTCATGGTGAAGCAACTGAATCCCTGGCTGTCATTGTAAATAACTTCAGACCAAATGGTCCAGTGGCCTGTACTACGAAGAGGGGTTACTTGTCAGATTTAAGGTAAAACAGCTTAAATGGACTTCATATTCGTTCGCTTACATTTTGCCCAGACTACCTTAAATCTGACAAGTTACCCCGATAAGCCAGTAACCCCGCTTCATAGTACAGGACCCTGGTCACAAAAGCAATAACAATGCTAAACTTAATATTGTCTCCAATTTACTGCCTCTGTTCCCCCACAGTAGAAAAACACCTTCATTGATACTGGAGCTGGTGACTGGACAGAAATGCAGTGATCGCAGCCTGCCAACATACGAGGAGGTCTCCACCTTCACTGTGCCACAGGACGTGTGTGCGTGTGTGTGTGTGTGTGTGCGCGCGTGTATGTATACCCTACATGTGCGTGCGCGTGCGTGTGTCTGTGTGTGTGTGCGCATGTATGCGTGCGCGTGTGTGTGTGTATGCGTGTGTGTGTGTGTGTGCGCGTGTGTGTGTGTGCGCGTGTATGCGTGCGCGTGTGTGTGTGTGTGTGCGCGCCCACATCCACGGAGGATTAGCTGGCCACACAGATGGTTGCTCAGATGGCCCTGGAGGAGAGGTGCTGAGCAGAGAGCCCACCCCGGAAGGATGCCGTCATGGCCGCCTCCGGCCCTGGTTCCCCAGCCCCAGGCCCTGCCCCCCTGTGGCCATCCGCAATGGAAACGGGTGATGGCGCCTTCGCTGTGCTGCATTGCCGGGGCGAAGTCCAAAGCCCGGTGACCCGGTCCAAGAGGCGTGACGGGGACAGGTGGGGGTGGCTTGCAAATCAGGTCATGTGACCAGACATATGGCGTTCTCTGCATTGGAAACTCTGTGGCTCCAAATGAGCTGCTGCTTCTTCCCCAGGAGTGTGTGTGAGAGGGAGAGAGTGTTTGTTTGTCTGTTTTTGTCTTAGTCTCTGAGCCTGTGTGTGTCTGTGTACTTCAGTTCCTCTGTGTCTGTTTCTCTGTGTGCTTTAGTTCCTATGTATCTGTGTTTCATTTCTTCTGTGTCTGTGTGTTTCAGTTCCTATGTATCTGTGTGTTTCATTTCTTCTCTGTTTGTCTGTTTCTCTTACTCTGTGTCTGTGAGTTTCAGTTCCTCTGTGTCTGTATGTTGCTGTTTCTCTGTGTCTGTATCTGTGTCGGTGTGTTGCTGTTCATCTGTCTGTTTCTCCTCCTCTGTCACTATGTGCTTCTGCTTATCTGTCTCTGTGTTTCTCCTCCTCTGTGTCTGTGTGTTTCAGTTCCTCTGTGTCTGTGGGCACGTACTCTCTGGATGTCAGACTGAAACAGGGGTAATTTGCTCGCAGCTAATCTGAGAGGGTCTCGGTTCAGCCAGAAGTCATGTGACCTGCTCAGCCCATACATGCCACAGCACCGTCATGCTGACAGATGGCTGAACGCAGACTGACGCGCTGGCGCAGTCCCTGTCACCTGCTGCCCTGTCCCCTGGTTATCCCCAGTCACATGACAGACTGAAGGCTCCTGTTTAAATACATTGGTTATCACTCTATTTACTTCAAGATAATTATATTATGAGGCTTCACTGGCCCGACTGTCTGCAGACCTTTAGTTAAAGGAAGCATTACATTATACATTAAATGTGTCCTCAGCAACTCAGGGTTTCACATCTCACCTTGAGGGTTCTGGGTTCGATTCCTCACTAGCAGGCCTGTAAGTGTGAGCAAACCAAGCTAGTTGTGTCACCACCATTTGATTGGTTGAAATGCTGGAAAATACCAGCAATCTGTGTTGATATGCATGGATTACCTGGTGGAGAAATGGCATTTCTATATATTAATCACTATCAGTAGTATAGTACTGTTAGTGTTGGGGTGTCATTCTCTTCTTCCAATGTCTCATTTGATCACAGAAAAGTTGTATCACACACTGATGCATTTCCGATAACTTAAAATGTGATATAGAACAGCTAAACTGAACTGTTTTGTAATGCTAGTGTTTGACTCAAGACGGCAATTCTCACAGATGTGCTTGTGGAAATTAGCACACAGTAAAAAAAAAATGCACATAGTAAATCGTGATGTACAGTGTGAACTGTAAAAAGCGTCTCTTCGGTTTTACGTCACTATCGCTCTCCATACCTGACAACGCCTTTACCGAGCCGACCCTTCTGCAGTGGAAATCCGAAGAGAGCTGGAACCGTGCCGTAACCACTTCACGGTTTAGCTTGGGGGCTCCTCGGTTCCGCTATGTCAGTGGAAAACCGAAGAGAGCTGGAACCGTGCCGTAACCACTTCACGGTATAGCTTGGGGGCTCCTCGGTTCCGGTAAGAACACGTGTGACGATGCCGTCACAAACCACCATGGTCTGCGTTTCCTGAGATTGGTGGCCACCCCACAAACCACCGCCAAGGTGTCACAGTGATATGTTTCCAAATTTCTCCTGGGGGGGCAGGGGCTAAGACATTCTGCTTAGCACTCCGTGTGCCTGAAACACTCACACATTTACATATATATTCTTCAGCCTCTGAATTGGGTGTGGCAGCCATCGTCTGGGTAGCAGTCATACCGCACGTGATTCCCACCCTCATGCTGTGTTTGTGGCCAGGGGATGCCCCCCCCCCCCACAGGTTTGGATCACAGTCATTAATCTGAATGACGACAGGATGTATGCAGACTATTTAGCTGTGCTTATCTAACTGACTCGGTCCATAATATGAGTCATTCTAAGTGCTTCAAGACCAAACCGTCACGGGAACATAAGTTGAAGTTTTGCAGAAAATATGACATTATTTCCGTCACACTGGCGTTACGTAAGTGACATGAGGCAGTGGGGCCGCCCTGCCCTCTGATCGCTGACAGTGTTCCTGCCTCTCACGCTCTTATTGCATGTAACTCGATGCCGTCGGAAGTGGCCATCGATCGACACCCCCAGTGTATGGTCGATCGCCTTAAAAATAGCACTGCGTGATTTCTGGGGTCATTAGCAGGACCCTCCAACAGAAATCTGAGACCCCCCCCACCCCCCACAGAGCAGACTTCCCTGACCTCATTCACTCTTCCACTCACAGCTGGAAGCAGCACAGAAATCCCAGATTTCCAAGAGAGATCAGGATCAGGAAGGAGTTGGACTTACAGCTTTGTCATCCGCTCCTCCTGGCTCGATGATGTAGGTGTGGTTTCCATCAAAAAACAGCCCACTGTCGATAAGAAGAGAAAAAACAGACTGTAAGGGATAATCAATCCGGAGCCAAGATGTCCGGGACACACAGATTTTCTTGTTCTGTGACAAAGGTTCAGATTCTGTGGGCTGTGATTCTCCCACCACATCTTAGGAGTATAAAGGAAACCAAACTGACACAATGGACTGTTGCATCTCTCAAACTGTTTGTGGGAAGCATACTTGGGGCATCTGGTGAAGTTTTTCCGTATCAGAAGATCCTATTAGCTATGGACGTAGTCTGAGCGAGGAAGCCCATTTGACCTTGTGATGATGGAAGCCCATTTGACCTTGTGATGACCTTGTGATGGGCATCTCAGGTACCACGACCTATGAAAATGCAGTCGCCGGCCATCCCTAAATGGATCACCCTATAATCTGTGGATCTCTGGAGCATCGTTTTGGGGCACGACGTTATCTAAAGAATCTGCTAAAAAGGTGCAAGATGGGTAATAGCTAATGCTTAGCCCCATCCGGGCCTGTTGCCTCAGAGGAACCAGTGGGGAGGTTGTGCTGGGCCCTCAGTGAGTGTATTGGGTGTTGCAGAGAGCCCAAGAGGGAGGGATTACACTTCATGGGAGCCCAGCTGAAGTAATTTTGTCTCAAGCCTGGGCATTATGCATGGCATTGCCCGCCCACAGCTCCGTGCCAGCGAATGAGAAACTTGATGCTGGGAGACATCAAGAGGCCGGATTCACAGGCACCGCAGAGTGTGACGGCTTTAAATAACAGAGCTCAGTAATATAAATGGAAAACCATCCTGAATTGAAATTACCATCACATTTAGGGTTGATTAACACAACAGGCGATTAAAAGGGGACGTGTTAAAGTAGTAATTACACAATCACATGATTATGAAGCATTTCACGCTCTTCCAATAGCCAACAAATAGGAAAAAATATATTCAGCAGAAGATAAGGGGAGGGCACAGGGCAGGCCCCGGACCTGCAGAGCTGGGCGTGTCTTCTAAGCGCTCAAGACACCCTGCCCTCTCTTCAACTGCAGCCAGCTCAACAGAGCGTTGAAATAGCGCCCCTCACAGGCAGCCAGGGTGAAGAGCGGGTACGCAGGCCTAAGAGAGAGCCATGAGCTCGCTCACCCTCTGCTGCCTCAACAGGAGACACAGTGTGTCCAATTACAAAGAAAAATAGTTCAGTGTGGGATCATTTCAATCCATGGATTATTTCACAGTGTTCGGTAAATCGGTACATTCCAGTCTGTATATATTCCTTTCACTGGTACACGCTGTACATTGAAAAGCAGCTCAATTTTTAATTTACCAGTGAAAATATTTCAAATGTACAAGTCAGACAGATAGATGAAACAGAATCCTGTAAAGTTAAGCCAGACGTGAGGAGGTTTTTTTGTTCTCCACATCACGTTTTCAAAGTTCCCTTCATCATCTGATGGGAGTCTCTGCTACAGGTCAGCTGTGATGTGCTGTCGGTTTGAAGCACGGCTTGGGTCCTCAGCGGCCACCTGCGTGACGGAGGCCTCTCCTGCACCCCAGAAGCACCCTGGAGAGGCACGACAGCCGCCGACCTGCTCCTCTTCCTGACAGAAGGTCGACCACATGCCCGTTTCTGTATGATCACTACCCAGAGCCCAGAGATACTTCCGTTAATGTGCTCTGCGGGTAACGTAAAACAAGACTGTTCTAATTTTTATGCGTCCTAATCACGTTGCCAAAAAAACATCAACGATGCAGCACCATTTAAAAGCCCAATCCAAGATTATTCCGTCAGACAGCACCGATACCTAGGAAACAATCAAAACAAGGGTGATATGAGGGAAGCTGACAATCATGCTCTCTGTTAGGAACAATTCTTCAGCTCACTGGCTCACTCGCTTTGTGCATTTTGAAGAACTAAAAATACTGAAGTGAAGACCTGAAATCTCCCAGATTTCTGTGCGGCAGGATAAGGCGTGGAGGGAAGAAGGCAGGAGCTGTGTGTGTGTATGTGTGTGTGTGTGTGTGTGTGCGCGAGTGTGAGCTGGGGGCGGGGGGGGAGAGTGTTAGTGCTAAAACTCATTGGACACGAAAAAGAGGGACCCTCCAGTGAGACTAATTCGATTCCTGGCACCTAGCAGAGCTTGGGACATGCCCCACGCCGGGGCAGCAGACAAAGGAATCGTTTCTGAGCACCGGGCATTGTTCCCACAGAAATGAGGGGGGGGGGGGATGAGGGGATGGAGGAACCAAGCATTAAATAGCAAACCCTTAATACACTCACAGACCCTCTCCAACCACAACGGGGTGTATTTCAAACCATTGTCTGTGGACCAGCATATGAAAGTCTGATGGAGAAGGCTAAATGAACGAGGAAGGAAGGGGGTCTCCAAACGTGCAAAGGCCTGGCACAGAATATTCTGGAATTCTGACTATACTCAGGCAGCAGGTGAAGGCTGAATTGTGCGTTATTCACCAGAGAGTCAAGAGGAGACGGAAGAGCAGAGCACGGAAAACAATGCCAAATATCAACAGAGAAAACAGCATAGAGTAATTACATTGAGAACAGCATACAGTAATTACATTGCAGTAATTGCTAAACAGGATAATTGCCACTTAAGTCCATTACTACTGCATGGCAGAAATGCTTGCGGAAAACGACATGCAGCAGCACTGGAGTCCAGCGCATTCCTGAGCGTTTCTGTTAAGATAATTAGCCATTTGTTGCCGCAACTCCACTCCTCTGTGTTTACGGGTCCCTGGGGGGAACAGCGATGCTTACTGCAGTCCATGGCAGGTGGAGAGCGCCACATAGGATGCCGGGATCCCTCGAACTTTGCCCTGGTAATAGCAGTGCTCGCCGCCCTACAGGAACAAACAGGTATTACATATTAGCGCAGAGAGCTGCTTCCCGGAAATAGCCAATAAAAAAAGTGCAATGACGATGATCTGTCTCTTTCACACACACTCATGCACACACATACACATTCTCCAGTTATTTCACTTGTGATGGTGTTATTTCATATCAGCTCAACACTGTATTTTTAGTGCATTTTCAACCTCACAACAGTGGAACAGGCCAGAGAAAGTGATATGTGGTGAAATTGGCATTAGCTTCTTAGCATGAGCTTCCCTGATGATCATGAAAATCAGCATTACATCCCCACATCACCCAAGGCCAAAGTCAAGCCTTTTAAAGTTCTGTATTCATTGTGACAGATCAGATTATTCAAAGATACAACAGCAGGAACCTGCTGGATGTTCCTCGGTCATGGGTCATAGCCAAACCCCAGCCGACTCTAGATGACAGATCCTGCTACGTCCCGCTCTCTCCCAGACACCCACAGCTAAGTTTGCTTTTTTTTCTTTCGGGACAGCCGTCCCGGTGGAGCCCATCCCCGTAAACTCCGACCAGGAAAGTCCCGGCGTCCGGTGGTCCAGCTGGCTGCCCCACACCACGGCTTGTGAGGCCCACACCATTAGTGAGGCCCCTCCCTGCAGACTCCACCATTACAGCCTCCTTGGGGTCTGGCAGCTTTTAAGGCTGAGGGGAGGGCGCCTTCCGATGGACGCGGCTGCTTTTAGCGCAGATCGATTCCAGCCCCCGCGCTGGACGCATTACCGTCAGCCAGCGGCCCGTCTGCCTCAGCCAGGTAAGCGGGCCGGCTACCGAAGCGCTTCCCTGCAGTGTGTCCTCTCAGCATCGCGGGGCGGCGCGAGGCTGCGTTTTCCTGGCTGTGAGACGGGCTTCCTCGTACCAGTGAGGTCATCAAAGAGGCACTAACTCTGTGCCTGTTTCCCAAGCCTGCTGGATGGCATTTGGGGACCTGACCCGGCGAGGTAAGGCATCAAATGTGCCCACATCTGTGCCGTTTACCCTCATTTGTGCCTCCCCCAGAGTCTCACTACTATCTGACCAGCAGCCTGGGCAAACGCACGGCCTCCTGCCCGACCGGGATGTAGATTCTGCAGCCTCGGGCCTCATCGGGGGAGGGGCACCACGTGTGCTCCCTGAGAGCGGCAGGCATGCCGGGAAGGACAGATAGTGAGCTGGGGGGGGGGGTTTAGCAAGAGGTCTATTTATAAACGGTGCCCTGCTCCACAATCGAGTGCTGTTCCTGAAACTACCGCTCTAATTCTAGTACCGCGAGAGGGATCCCCGCGGTTACACCTCTTCCCCCTGTGCGGTCTGTTCCGGTTGAAGACATTTCCATAAAACAACTTACGAGGGCCCGAGCCGACCATCCCAGAGACGATGCAGGCCAGGAGACCAGCACAAAACAATCGTTTCACTCACAATAAAGTGCCTCATTCCTTTCCGTTCAAATGAATGCTTGGAATCCAACGAAAGGTTCTTTCAATATTTGATGTTCGGAAAAAAATTGTTTAACTGGCCCAGATCAAGGAAATTAGCAAGGGGACGACCAGCACTGTCAGCGTGGGCTGTGAAAGCGGGATTGGCATAAACAAGTAGGCTGGCGTGACCTTGCTCAGCATGGACGGAGAGGTAGGGGGCGCTCTGAGAGGCCCTGTATAGAAAGGGGTCCCTGGTTCACGGGGTGGGGTGGGGGGGATTCAACATCTCGCCGACCATTGTTACCCACTCAGGGATGAAAACGAGTGCCGGACCAAGATCCACGGGGGAAAAGGCCAACCCTGAAGCTCGACAAATGCTGACCAATCACAGATTTTTTAGATGATTGCAAGTATTGTTCAAAATGGATTTACAGGACTTTTTTATCACTGGAAGTTCCCAGCCTTGCACATTTCAAGCCATACTCAACAAGTCAACAAACGCCACAGCCAACATCAAACAGCGGCTGTACTTCCAACTCCAACCTGAGGAGGGCACCCTAACCGGCAGCAACACTTATAAGGAAAAAGCCCTACAGAGAGTAGTAAAAACAGCGAAACAGATGATTGATATGGGGTCACAGAGCCATAAACCTCACAGGAGCAGGTTCACCAGCTGCTTCTTCCCTTCTGCAATAAGACCAGTTGCTAAGGGGCTTCTTATCTCTGTAAGTACGCCCCCTATGGGTAGCTGTGTGATCTATTTTAGTAAATCAAGCACTCTAGCATCCACTTACCATTCGGCCATATGGCCAGAAATTTCACTTCCTGGTTCTGTAGCGTTATCCAATAGATTGATTACAAATTTACACAATGCAGATGCATTCTGGGTAGGTCTTCAGCTATTCTCCCTGAACCTGCTCCTCTCACAGTTACAAGCCTAGTTCCTTGACCAGTAAACCGCTTTGGGACCTGCTTTGCCAAAAGGTTTAGTACCATACAAAATATAAGGCTTAAATTAAATGCTTAAATTGTGCTTTAAAAAAGTTGTGAAATTTTTAGCATGAAAAAAACACAAACTCTTTTATTGAGGGCAGCATAGCCTGTTAAGATGGAGGTGGAATTACTCATAATGAATAAATATTAGTCGAGGCAAATAGGGCAGACTTCTAGGCTAACAGTAGCATCATGCTAACCATTAAAAATCTGAATCGCGAGTAAGATTAGATATTAAACACAGTGCGGCTGTTTCTCTGACCTGAAGATGCCCTTTTGAGGACCTCAGGGAGAGGAAGGCCATGGTATTTTCAGCGTTCCCCCCCCCCAGTTGCGTGATTCAGATGGTTTAAGGAGGACTTTCAGTGACCCACGACCCAAAACAAGCAGATCTTTGTAACCAGAGTCAGGAGACATGAAATGTAATGAGGGTAGCAAGCCATTTGCTTGTAGGATTATCCTTGGATAGAGCGGGGATGTCTGGACCTAGAAGCTGTCATCTATGAGTCTATTCCAAAAAAGGCCCCCTACGACTTTAATATGCTTAACTTGGAGGTTTTACTGTAAAGCCGTTAATTAAATATCACAGGGGTAGGGTTAAGCTGCTGGAAGGGTTTATAACACAAAAACTGGAAATACAGTCAAGTCCCTTTGCATTGGCAGCTCACGAAACTGGGAGTGTTGTTGGGTTAATTTGTGTGAGGTCCTGAGCATTAATACTGTCCCCAAGCATTAATACTGGGCCCTGAGCATTAATATTGGGCCATGAACAATAATTCTAGGCCCTGAACATTAATATTGGGCCCCGAGCATTAATACTGGGCCATGAGCATTAATACTGGGCCCTGAGCATGAATACTACCCCTGAGCATTAATACTGACCCATGAGCGTTAATACTGCCCCTACCATTTGAAAGCACATTTGACTGACTTTCTACGAGTTTCAAACTACTCTCACACTTGCCATTTAGGGCGTTCTAAATAAAAAACTTTATTTAGGGCAAACATGTCAGTTGTAAATTTTTAAAAAATCAATATATGAAACATTTTGTGTCTTTTCTCGCATCAGAGGCTGAAAACCCCAAATAAGCTCCGTCACATGAAGGGAGGGGCCTCTCCAACACTCACCTGGGTGAGGGTGGACCTCCCGTCTCGCGTGATGTGCCTCTCCACGTACTTTGAGGACAGCAGGTCACTGAAAGAAAGAAGAGGGAGGTCAGCGAACGAAGCAGAACCGCCAGCCGACACCCATCTGCTCCCATGCGTCACTCGTTCGCTCAGCCACGCGCACAGAACATGATGATCGCCCCCTATGGGTGCTGTCAGGTCCTGCTCACTTCACTGTCCCCTGATGTGTCCATACAGTTACCAATGGGCGACGTACATCACGATCTTACCAGGTGGGGAATCCGTGGAGTGAATTTGCTGTCGTTCTGTGTCTAAATGCCATTCTTTCATATTGATATAAAATCTACATAAAGCCTAACAGAGCAGCAGAAAAGATGATGCCTAGCAGATGGGTCAGCCCTGATGCTCTGCAGGTACCCCAAGGTCAGATGGGTCAGCCCTGATGCTCTGCAGGTACCCCAAGGTCAGATGGGTCAGCCCTGATGCTCTGCAGGTACCCCAAGGTCAGATTGGTCAGCCCTGATGCTCTGCAGGGACCCCAAGGTCAGATGGGTCAGCTCTGATGCTCTGCAGGTTCCCTAAGGTCAGATGGGTCAGCTCTGATGCTCTGCAGGTTCCCTAAGGTCAGATGGGTCAGCTCTGATGCTCTGCAGGGACTCCAAGGTTCATTAAACCCCTCATCCACAGCGCTACCAACTCACTGCAGCGGTTCAGCTCTATTTGGCCACTTAAAGGCTCCACTGAGTCTCATGGACCACACCTACATTAACAATAGCAGTGTCCCAACCATGGAACCCCCTGCATATCATCAACCACTCTACATCTGACCACATGTCAATCATCCAGGTTCACATCAAACACTGCGAGCTCATGGGAGTTTTACTTACACAAAAATGATGGGTTGAGAGTGATAACCAATCAGATTGTAGAGGAGATGGGTCCAAGCAACCAGAGGAGGCAGGACCAACCAATCATATGTCTGCCTCCTCTAGTTGCTTGGACCCACTTCCTCTACAATCTGTTTTGTTACCTTTCTGAACCAACCATTTTTCAATCTGCCCTCAGAACATTTTTGCGTAAGTAAAACTCCCACAAGCACACTGAGTCAATGTCCAAGATGTGCTATCCAAGGTGTTGGAATCAGTCCCCGACAGAAACCCCATTCTGTGTCTCCACAGTCTCCTGCTGTCAACACGTTTGGATACAGCAGCGCCGAGAGAATCAAGAGAGCACAGGAAACAGTGGAATGCTGAAAGGTGATAACCTACTCATTTCATGCACCTCTTTTGCTTATGATTTCAAAACTGTGCTTCCGTTTTCTCTCTCTGTTAAAGAAAGATAAATGATTAATTTCATGACACTCTTCAGGGCCTTAGAAAAACCAGACATTTGCTTTCTGATGCCTTCCCTCAGTATGGGACAGCGAAGCCTCTGTGGAGTGATCGTGGGGCGGCAGGAAAGCCTCCCCCAGATGGACATATACAAGGATGCGGTAAACTGATCCTCAAAGAAAAGGCCTGATTGGATAAAATAGGCAGTCAGAGCAGAGTCTGTCTCTAACAGTGACTCAGAGCCAGTGACTCAGAACCAACACTTCCACCATTAAAACCACAAATACTCAGTAAAAACCAGCCATCTGAACACATTGGTGTTCTGTCAGCGAATTAAGATGACCGCTCACCCTGATCTTATTATGAGGCCAGCCCAGCAATGGCATCATCTGGAATGTGGACCAGCATCTCATCCATCATAAAACTCTGTCCCTTACAGTCCCCCCCCCCCCCCCCCGGTGATCAATCAACCCAGTGAAACAAGCCGGATCCCATTTCTGAAACAGGAAGACGCCTTGTAAGGGTGTCCACGGACGCCAAAAATGGAGCAGGGTAGAACTCACCGTCCCTGCAGACTAGGGCTTGACCTCTCCCCCCCTCCTGTGGATTAGAGCCCCCACCCCAGACGAGAAGGGGTTAGCACTAAGCTGGCCACTTGCTCCTCACACAGCACTGTGGGTCCCTGTGCAGCCCCTGAGCACGAGCCGTCCTCGTCCCCAGAGTCCGGTAGCCTGTCGCTGCTGCATCCATTCGAGATTCAGGGGGACGTTCGTCACTGCCGTGCTCTCAGCCTCCTTCTGCCCCCAGCCCCCCGCCCCACTCCGCCTCGCATGCACCGCGTTCATCTGGCATTAATGTTCTACAAACTGGTTACACTCAGATTAGCTTTACCCACTACAGGGTTTTTCAGCAGTTATTAAACTGGCTTTTCGTCCAGTTTGCTGGAACAGGGACATCGAATGCATGGCTCCGGTCACACAGCCCTGTTTGACAGCGGCATGACCACACCTTCCTGTGGACCTCAGGCCCACCAACGGTGTTGAGCCTCATTAGCATACAGGTGGATCAAAACCGCGAAGGAGTCTGTCCTCTGCCGTGTGAGGTCCGACAGCCCAGACGGGGTGAGTCTAACCCCACAGGGCAGTGTCGCGTCCAAGTCTACAGCCTTTTCATCTGGAGTAAGCATATTTCCCGTAAACACGCCCTCTGATGTCGTCGGCACGCCCGGCTGAGCCATTTCTATGCTTTAGCTGCCACTAACTTCGACTTTCAGCATAAACTTAATTAACAGCACCGGTCCCCAGTGAAGCCCCTTAAAACTGCACCTCCACTGCAATCAGGGGGGTGTTACCGCCTTACAGACTCCGCCCTGAGGCCACATATCGGTCTCCGTTTCACTCCGGCTCACTGACGGTTCGGTTCCCTGAAGTCCTGCTGCTTTCTCAATGGGCTGTTGAAGACACACGTCAATTTGCATATCCACACCAGCATCCACCAATCAGAGCGCGGATTACTGGCAGTTCCCGACAGGTCAGGCTGCGTGGAATATGTGGAGACGGCTGGCAGGAAATGGAGGCGCTCTGAGCAGTGGTGCATGCTGATAACTGATTTTTGCTTTTAATTGCTTTGGGATTTGAATAATTTATCGAGCAGACAAAGGCCATTGCTCATGCACTCCGCTGTTATGGACTCCATTTGCATGGGGCCCGTCGCCCGGTAATGCACCTCGCTAAGCCAATGCCCAGGGAGACGAATAAGAGCCAGTCGGTGCATTAACATTTATTACTGACATGAAAGGGATTCGTTCTGTGAAAGGGTGTTTACGCTCGGCAGCGCCCCCTGCTGCCCCGATCTGGCTCCGCATGGGTGCCGGGGCAGAGAGCATGCTGTGTGTGGGATCAGGTGCAGCACGGCTCTGGGGAGTGTGATGGAGCTCACCCCCCGCCCCCCTGCCCCGCGCCCATGAGAAAGCTCCTGTAAGTGTGAGTTACACTTGTGTGGGCTGGAGGCTCGGGTACCACACTCACTGCTGCGTGAACCGTGTGGAGCGGACTGGACTGGACTGGACTGGACTGGAGTCTGTCTGCAGCCTTTCAGAACACAAACCTACACAAATACGCATAGAGATAAACCAATACTCACTGATATACAGATACTCACAGAGATAGATACTCAGAGATATACATAAACTCGTGCTCACAGATATACCAATACTGATACTCACAGATATACCAATACTGATACTTACAGATATACCAATACTGATACTCACAGATATACCAATACTGATNACAGATATACCAATACTGATACTCACAGATATACCAATACTGATACTCACTGATATACAGATACTCACAGAGATACATATACTCAGCAATATACATAAACTCATGCTCACAGATATACCAATACTGATACTCACTGATATACAGATACTCACAAAGATAGATACTCAGAGATATACATAAACTTGTGCTCACAGATATACCAATACTGATGCTCACAGATATACCAATACTGATACTCACAGAGATACAGATACTCAGCAATATACATAAACTCGTGCTCACAGATATAACCAAATACTGATGCTCACAGATATACTAATACTGATACTCACAGAGATACAGATACTCAGCAATATACATAAACTCGTACTCACAGATATACCAATACTGATACTCACAGGTACACAGTTATTTATTTAGCAGATGCTTTCATCCAGAGCGAAGTCTTTTCAGAAAGTCAAATCAGACAGACAGTCCCTCGAGCGGTCGGGGTTAAGGTCTGTGCTCAAAGGCCCAACGGTGAAATCACTCTGGCAATACTGGGATCTGAACCGATGACCTTCTGATCACAAGCACAGTGTCCCAACCCACTGAGCCACAACTCCCTCCCCCCATACACAACAGAGCTACTCTGAGACACACAAACAGATACAGACACACATACACAGATACATACACACAGATACACACAAATACAGAGATCCACAAAGTCACAACCCCCCAAACACAGACAAACCTGCACTGGAAACCCCTCCAGTGAGACACACACACACACACACACACACACACACACACACACTCCCACACACCTGGGTTAGACCCAGCCTTGCTGAATCAGCAGTGGCTGAATCTCTTACTGGCCTTATTCACAGGGAACAACACAACTTGTTCCTTCATTAATCATGGCCCCCTCCCCGCCATGACTCTGTGGATGCTTCTCCGCTCCCCTGGCCCATTTGGGACCACATCCCTAGCCCCCTTCTCGTACACCCTCCCCCCCCACCTTGGCTGTCACATGACCTCCGATCGGCGCTCGGATCTGGAAGCGCTTACAGCCGGCTTCCTGCCCGCTGACAGACTCTGGGACAGTCCCCTGCTCCCCCACGGCATTAATGGGAAGAGCTCAGCCGTATCTGCTGGATTCTATGGGCTGGCACTCAGAGCCTGACACCCAGGCCAGAGCAGAAGGTAGCTGCAGAACGTCAGCATGAATGCAGGCCAAGAAAATAAATCTTAAGAGCCCCCCCCCCACACAAAAACACATTTCGCTTGGAGGAAAATACCCTTTGCCTTTAAAGTCAGTTACATAACAAAAATTCTTTTCAATATCCGGCCTGCCCTATTAAGCAAAATGGCGACAGGGTGAGGTTGCTGGAGTATTCCCAGCGATCCCAACGACACCCCAGTCCCGGGTGGCTTCCCCATGACCCCCAGCCAGCCCCCCCTACACACAGCAGGTACCACTTTGGAAGTGGCTGCACACACATCACTCTGAAAGCACGGCGTCTGGTAAACAGGAGGCCCGGGGAGGAATTAAGATGGCGTCGGGGTAAATAAGGGTTCTCCGTTTGCCCCATACACCCCCCGGACTCACTCAGCACTGACCCCGGTACACTGACCGGCCACATAAACCAGCACACAAGGCACAGCCTCCGATGTCTGCTGTCGCTATGGGCAACAGAGCCCAAAAGCACGCAGAACAATGACCCAGTGGACGCGACTGGAGACGGGATCTGAAAACCAAAAAGCTGGAGGCTGAGAACGAGCCAGACTGGACCCTGCTCTCTGTGGGACAGAACCGCCAGTCAAATCCAGGCATAGGACAAATATGCATGTTCCTTTTCGCTATGGGTAAAAAGAAAAATCATTTGTTAGAAAACTATAGCCTGATGTTTCCCCTTAAAAACATCGAGCAGGTCATTTCTCTCCGTGGGTCTGGTTCTGCTGGAGAATCCTAAAGTTCTGGCACTTTGGCTGGGTTCTGGATTTCTAAATGTGGGGGACCCAATGATTTGGCACAAACACATACAGAAGACGCCCATTTTCCCCAGGGTGCCTGCCCCACCTACTGGGCTGTCATCCATTACCAAACAGGTTTGGGAGCCGATCGGGGTCCGGATCGAGTGGCCCTGCATGACCGTGAAGGGGAGCGTCAGGGAACAGCAGGCGCTGGCAAGCCACTTTCACACCTCCTAACGTCTCTTCCGGAGTAAGTGTCCCCCCCTTCCACAAACCACAAATAAACCAGGATGGGCTGTTCCCGATGAATGCTGGGGGCTGGCTGTTGCTCACAGACGCTCCCTCATTGCTTCTGGGGGGGCAGCTCACTCCAGCAACTTCCTGGGAAATATCAAATTTTGCCTTTCTGCTTACGGGAACCTAGGGGCACCAAGACTCAGATCAAAATAATATAGGAAGGAACTCAGCAGAGAATCCCCCCCCCCCCCCCCCCAGAAGAGCTATCTGGTGACGGGTAGGTGGTCAAATAAAATGTGCCCTAAAGGTGTCTGGGGGACGACCACCCCTCTCTCCTCTCTCTCAGGCCTGCTTTCCTTCTCTCACTCTCTCTTTAATTGGAAGTACAGACACACACACATGCACACACACGCTCAACCGCAGGCGGATGAGGGAGTGGCAGGGAGGGGGACAGCCTTCATCACAGATGGGGGGTGGGGAGGTTATGAGAGACCAGGGACTTCTGGGATCAAGGGGCTCAGGTGTAGGTTGCCCCTCCCCCCTATCGCCCCCCTACCCCCCCCCCCTATCACCCCCCGATGTCCTGTTGCTTTCTGCCACCATCCTCAGAAGCCTTGTCATTCTGCTCCTTCCACGGTGATGTTCACCCCCCTTGCAGACAAATACCCCCCCTCACCCATAGCTCACCCACTCAAGGGTGCAGAAAGGATGCTCACCAGCATGCACTCATTATCTCAGCCATAAAGCAGGTCTTCCCCTCCCCCCCCCAGTAAATTATACATGAGGTGAGTTTGCTAGCCTGCGATAACTGCATGTTTGTACCACCTGCCAGACGGCATGCAAACCTGCACAGAAGGCAAAGGAGCAGGAGCAGGAAAGGGGCATCCAGAGCTGGCTGTGAGACGCTGACTGGTCATTACGAATGGATATCCTCTCCTGAAAGCCACCGCTGCTTTCTCAATGGAGACAATCAAAATGGAAAACACACTGCAAATGCACTGGAATTATATTTGAAGCTCTCGCCTGACCCACCACACTGTTGGTCCCTCTGTTTTCCTTGCTTTTGACCCCAGAGGAATTAGGCCAATGCACGGATTCAAGCCTCAAGGGGAACCTGAATGGAACTTGGGTACTGAACAGAACCAGGTGCCGAAACAGAACGGTACTGTTTCAGTGATTTGAAATGAGGCAATAGGTTCCCACAATTTGCGGCCCTTCCCCCGTGATACGACCCCCTCCCCCACTGCTCCGCCCCCACCTTCTGCCAAGCTGAACGCTGTATTTTGATGGATGCATCCTGCACATACACATATATTACAATATATTACAGTCCCTCACCTCCCGAGCATGTTTACAACAGGACCCCCTTCTTGCCCCCATCACCGATGGGGCCACGTTCTTCCTGTATCACATTCCACGTGTTTAACACACACACGTACATGTATATACAAATCCATGCAGATCACTGGACACCTATGGTGCCGTTCCAGGAAACTCCCCATTAGACACCATCAATTTTTGTGAAAAAATGAGCAGCTGATTAAGAAAATAAAAAATTTAAAAACTGAATTTACATACAAACTGCAATCTGTGAATTACTAACAGAACATAAAAGCCGCACCAGACAGTCGCTCGGTTATGACAGGGGAGGAACAAACCCAGTTATTTCGGCCAGCTGTCCACGCAACCCCAGGACGTCACGGTGAACATTAGCGCACAAGCTGTTCACTTCCCCTTGGAACATAATTACAGTGTGCCGCAAGGACCCCTTTGGTGTGTCCGGACAGGGGCCCGGAATGGTGGGGGGGTTGGGGTCCCTATCTGAGAGCCGCTTCAGTCTCACGGAAACATTAATCATTCACTGAAATGCATTGCAGGATGGGACGCCGTGTGTGCGTATGGGGGGGGTGCAAGACACACCATCAATAAGCAAGCAGAGGCGCATCCTCACCCGCCTCAGTTAATGGGAGAAATCACACTCTGAGGAGGGGCCTAATTAAAAAACAACTCTGAAAAATCTCACTGCATTTATTAATAAGCAAAAATGAGCAATGGATTGGGGACAGGAGAAGCCCAAGGGAACTGGATCACAGGCACAAAATAATAACACAGAAAGCAGCCATCCTTAAACAAGAGAGACTCATTTATAGGTGAAGCTGAGAAACACACATCTCTAAGCGAAGCTGAGAAGAAGCACCCATTACAAAGCAAAGCTGAGAAACACACCTCTCAAAGCGAAGCTGAGAAGAAGCACCCATTACAAAGCAAAGCTGAGAAACACATCTCTAAGTGAAGCTGAGAAACACACATCTCTAAGCAAAGCTGAGAAGAAGCACCCATTACAAAGCCAGGCTGAGAAACATACATCTCTAAGTGAAGCTGAGAAGAAGCACCCATTACAAAGCAAAGCTGAGAAACATTGCTAAGCGAAGCTTAGTAACACTCATCACTAAGTGAAGCTTAGTAACACTCATCACTAAGTGTAGCTGAGAAACACTCATCACTAAGTGAAGCTGAGAAACACTCATTCCTAAGTGAAGCTGAGAAATCCATCTTTGAGAGAAGCTTCCCAGCTCCTTTGCTTGAAAGCTTTAGATGCAGATTTCCCAGTATTCAATCCGTGTGGGAAAATCAGATCACAGTGTTAGATGCCAAGACCCAGGTCGGCTCATTCAACAAGCCCCAGCCTGACACACACAGCCCACAAGGTTTGGCTCGATCAGACAGGAATTGGTGAAGCACAGAAGGATCTGGAAAAATCCCTCAGAGACTTTACACCACAGGACAGGATGGTAGACACAGCCTACCAGGACCCACAGTCCAGTCTTCATCGCGATCGTGGACCCCAAGTGGACGGGTTCCTCAGTGACTGACGACCCCCCCTGGATGGCAGGAGTGGCTGCCAGTGTCCTGGGGGGGCGTTCTCCATCCAGAATGTCATCAGAAACACCCCGGAATTCCACTGTGCAATTACACAGCTTACAGTCCCACGAATGTCACAAAAGATGGGTGGTGGGACCCGGGGGGGTTCCGACTGGATCCAAATTAAAGAAACTGCTTTTGTATGCTTTCCAGCACTATTACATAACACATTGTGTGACTGCACAAAAAGCATTTTGCTATTAGAAGGATCGTTATCACTTACACACTTACAATCTGCGTTAATAAAATGGAGAATGCTTTGCGGCTTCCTGAACAAGGGCGTGTCTAAACACACAAACGATGATGACGATGATAATACTGTAATTAGCACATTGTTCTTGTATTAACTGATTGTTGTTATTACGAAGCATGACTAGTTTTTACCGGTATCTTCCTCCACCTCTTCTCCTCTGATCCAATATCCCCTGACTCTGGGTATCCCAGAATGCACTGCTCTACCGTTTAACAGGAGGAAGTCAGCACTTTAGCCAAAAGCACGCAAGCACTTTGGTCAGCATGGGAAGCGCGTTTTATTCCATCAGGAGCCATGCGATCGATATTTCAGTGCGACGTGGCTGCACGTAAGCTCCGGCGTGGTGTCCGGCACTGGGGCAGCGTTTAAAGCCACACGCAGGGCAGTGCAGCATCTCGCTAACTGTTGGGTTTGAAGGGCACCAGTATTCCCATATTTATGGGCGAGGCCTGAAAGGGGGGTGCCGCACGCGGCCGACCGCCAGCTCGTCCTCACCCCACCTACGTGCCTCCGGCTCCTCTGGAGCGTCATGTTTATTATTGTCAGCATCGCTAGCATCATTAAGATCGTTAGCATCATTAACGTTAGCATCTTTGGTGCTGCATGCCATTCCTGTCGTCTGACACACAAAAAGCTCCCCGTGTCCCAGGAGGAAGAACAGGTTCTCACAGCCGAGCGATCACCACACAGACGCTCCGCAAAGGTCGGTCTGGCGACTGGTGCTTGCTTGGGCATACTTACTGGTTCAGCTCCACATCCAGGATAAACGTTTCCCCAAAGGCGTCCAACTGAAAGCTTGCATGAGCCACGTGGGTCATCTGTGGAGGAAGAGGGGACAGCAGCAGGGATTTAGCAGCAGGACTGAAGACAGGACGAGACCCTGATGTTCACTGAGAATAATAACTAATGGGATAATGGTCTTCTGATGGGCTTCGTAAAACCCTGCGCATTTTAAAAGCCATAAGTGATGCATGCAACCGAAATCACTCCGGGCCTGAAAGGGCTGTCAGCACATTTTTAGAAAAGTTTTGAAACTTCCATATTTATGATTGTGCTTCACACCAGCGGCCAATGTGGTTTTTAATTTGCCAAAAGTGAAGGAGCGCTATCCCAAAATCGACAATCGGCCAACAAATGGGCCCAAGCATCTCCCTGAAAGCAAACCCAGGGTGTCTATTGGCAGAAAGCCTGTTCAGTGCCATTCAAAATGGAAGGGGGTGGGGGCTGAGAGCTGCAGTGACCGTGTCGCACAACGTCATTTTGGCATATCGTGCAGCTGTCATGGTGGATCAGCCTCCTTACTGCACTGGAGCAGGATGGCGGCTGTTGTTACAGCCTCCTGATTCCATTGTCCCACAAGACATGACCTCAGGGGACCTAAAGTTCAGAGCCTGCTTTGTCCTTCAAATGTTTTCTTATACATCTGCAGTCAAGTAACAAGCCTTCAGAAAGGTCCCAGACACTCACCAAAGCATTCTCTTCCATTTAGAGCCACGGGAAAAGATATCCAGAGTAATGCACATTTAAATCTAAGATTATTACGTTTGTCCTTTAAGATGACTTTAAACAAACCCTGATAATATAGCAGCACTGAGTGCGGGCGCAGGACGATCTGATATCCCATGATGCATCAGCACAGCAGCAGACAGAAACCAGATCTTCTCTGAACACTCAAAATGCAATTAAGATAAATAGCGTGCTAATCAGAACTTAACACCGGAGAGCAGAGCCAGACATTGCATTACAGCTGAGTCCTTCAGCATTCCTCATCGAGTGCTGACTTAAGAGAAGCCGCATTGAACGTTCGTATAATAACGATCTAATGTCTGTCCCTTAGGGGAACACGGGGAAAAAAAAGAAAAAGAAACCTGTACACCCACGTTCTGACATAACACCACCAAACGACTTTTTTTAGCTGGTAGCTCAGCATATGACACGCCGAGAGGTATCTGAGAAATCTCCGTTCCCCTCACACGAGAAGTGACAGGATAAAATGAGGCCGGTTCACTGGTGGAGCTGCCACATGGTACTGGGGAATAACCATTAAAACACTCTGAACCATTGCCCTGCCACATCCAGTGCAAATAGCCCAAATCATGCCGAGATGCCGACGTCAGCTTATGCAAATACTGACATATATAAACCCCACGAAACACGCAAGCTACCGCTACAACACCGAGGTTCCAAAACAAGAATGCACAAAGCGCTTAGTCAGAGAGAGGTTGGTATTTGTAGACTAGGCATTTGTTTGGTGTGTTAATTCATTAAGGGGGAACCCTCTTCCTTCTTTTTAAAGGAGCATCACAGTGCCTGCAATATTTTGGGTTACTTGTGCAATACCAGGCAGTTTACACAGGAAGCATCAGGAGAGATTAGATCCTGAAGGCTTTACATGGCTAAGAACAATCATGATCATTTTCTGGTTGTGTGGTTTGCAGAATGGATGGATGGATGGATGGAACACATAATTATACCCAAATTCTATTCTCCAACCAATTGGACATGCTGTGTGATGAGATGTCAGCTGTCCCCTGATCACAGTTTGACATGGATACATACATATAGCCTATAAACACACATATTCTAACATTCAGTACTTATGAATCATTACTATTTCTTTTTGTTTCTTTTATCTTTTATACATCGCAGGATCCCAAACAAGCAACTGAGCAAATTATTGATTAAACCACTTGAAGTTTAATTCTACTTTACATAATTGCTACAAACAAATGAAAAATATCAAGTTGTCCCATAACACGACAGTCCCCCTAAACATTAACTGGCGGTTAGACGGAACTCGAAGATAATTCTTTTGTAAACGCCCAATCAAACCTCATTAATTACGAAGCAGGTTGAAAGGGGAAGCGGCGCGTTCAGGCTGCGGGGCGGAGCGGCAGCACATGAAAGCGAAAACTGCACGAGACGAACAGGTAAAGGTCGGAAAATTGAAGATACCCCAAATGAAAATGTGCTCATTATGCATAAACCCTAAAAGACAACCTCGCTTTGCCATTTCAGCATTTACTATTAAAGGCTTTGCTATAAATATCAACCAGCTGCCTGTGGGAAAAACCACACAGGTTATCTTACGGATGGATTTTAATCACGTACTCTTTAATCATCCACAAAGCACATCGTACGAATTAAAAAACCTGACTCATACTTCTGTGTTTCCAGCTAATATAAATATATAAACACACACACAAACACACGCGTATATATATATGTGTATATACAGTACAAACGTGCGTTTGTGTGTGCAAATGTCTTAGGCAAAGAAAATTATGTTCAAATGATCATCATGTTGTTGTAAAAATATGATATTATGTCTGTCAACGTGTGTCAGCTTCGCCACTTCCAAACCTCTACTAAAGTCACCTCAGTGTTTGCATCAACCGTCCGACACACCAGTGTATTTTTTGACTAGATGATTAATTCACCCCGTTTGTTTAATGGATGCCGCAACCAGTTATTGAATTAATTTAATTTAATTAATTGATTGATTTATTGATTGATTGATTGATCGAGATGATGGTAAAATTTAACAAATACATAACATGGCTGATATACCCTTCAAAATACGTTAGGTTCGCCTCGATATCCAACAAGATACCATCCAGTACCTTTTTCGAGAACAGAAGAAACCCTAATTCATTTCTCATTGTGTTACTGTTAGTTTGCAAATGTTCTAATGTTCATTTGCGTTGTTTTTCTGAGCAAATATACACTTCCTACCCAGATAAAGAGCCTGAACATTTTCTTTGACTGCCTAAGGTTTTTGTACACACACGCGCGCGCGCGCGCGCACACACACACACACACACATACACACACACACATACATACATACATACATACATACATATAGAGACATTTTTAAAAATCCCAGGAGACTAGATGTAAACAACCCCGCTGGTCCTGCTCTCCTATCTTTCAGGCAGCACAAAGGAGTAATACTTCTATTATGCGCAGTTTTCAGACAAGCTGCGCCAAGTAAGCACAACCCACCCCCCAACCCAGCCCCGAACCACCCTGACCCCCAGCAAGCGGGATTTATTAAAAAAAAAAAAAGGGGGTGGGGTGGTGGGGAAAGGCTTCTTCACAATGGCTTTGTTCACACTGAACAAGACTACAACACTTGCATACAACGCACGGCAGGGGAATCCTCTGCTTCAAGGGCTGTAATGTTCTAGTGGCCGGTCTGGTATTAGAGTGCGCCAACTATTGCAATTATTATCAATATTTCAGATTCGTACATTTTGTGATTCGTTCACTTTAGTCATATTTTCTGACAGTAACATGTTACTGAGGTAACACGAGGTAACCGGAGTTTAAACAACCCAAACACTGGGTCCCATTAATACGTAAAACACCGCAAATACAGTCAAACCACAGCGATAAAACCCTATTTGTAATTAATATAAAAAGAAAGTAATGGGAATAAAATGAGAAACCGGACGTCAAATGCTATTAAATAATGAATGATTGGGTTCAAACTGAATACTGGGACGTATAATGAGCAACAATGGTACATGGAGAAAATAAACTGACGCATGTATTGTATGACACAATTACATATCTCACACATACATACACGTATGAGTGTGTGTGTGTGTGTGTGTGTGTGTGAGAGAGAGAGAGAGAAAACAGTCTATACAACCAGAAGCAATACAGTCTACTTCCTCTCACTTGTGTACATTATGCATGTATCTCAGTAAATACAGTTTATGTATACATGCGCTGCATATATGATATATACTAGCCTATATTTGCTGTTACATTGCTTTTTCCCGTCTCGTTCTTTTGTTTACAAGGCCCATCTGACACCTCTGTATAAAGCAAGTCCTTTGTGTAAAATCATAACCACCAACTGCCAACACGCATGGTTTGGGTACACATCCAGCCTAAAGCCACACGTATCACTAAAAAATCAATTAATCGCAACGAATTCATGGCGAATTCAGAGGGTCGGGACTGTCCTAATACCCCCGACCGATCACAATAATAAAAAACGCGGCACATGAGGTTCCCAGACGCCGGGTTTGAGGGCTTCGCGGGGGTGTTTTGATAAAAAAACAAAATTCCAAAAAGCAGATCGCCTCCAAGGACAGATATACAGCCCGACTGAACAGAAGCGGCGCTCTGGGTGAGAGATGCGCCGTACCTGTTGTGGGTCCGGACTCGCTGTTATCCTGGTGCTCAGCACGTCATTCGTGATCTGACTGCCGTTGTCCATGCTGTAAATTAGCCGCACAGGAACGGTGTTCTCCTTCCCGAAAGCGCCGCCGGCGTCCTCGCCAGCCTTCTCTCCTGACAAGGCGTCACCTTTAAAAGCAAAAAATAACACATTTCTTTCGTTTCGTCCTTGCGGATGAAAACGGAACCGCTAAAGCGCGTCGCCGAAAATGTACACAAACGCCACATAACAGATAAGCCGAATAATGGCTGGGAATCCATCTCACTAAAAAACAACCATATCCGAATGTAAGGCTGTCATTTCGCGTTGTACCGACATGCGTATTTTAAAAGGTGTTTACGTCGTAAATCATATGGGTACATCTTTCCGATTTTATATGCTGTTTAATATTTACATTCCCACTGCCTTTCATTAACGTATTTCCACCATATTTTATAGCGAAAAATGGCATTACCTATGTGAAGGTTCGAATTGTCGGAATGAACGATACACATCGCTCCGTAGACGCATAAAAATGAAATCCCCCATCTCACGGTCATCATAGCTGTGCCGTTGTAAAAACAATTCGTCCCAAAATAAGAGAACAAAAAAAAATCAGGAAACCTTTGTCGCTAAAGAAAACAGCAGGTGAGATACATGGGTGAATGCGCTCCAGCCGTCTGGTTAGTGCATCTCCCCTTGCTGGTTGCCATTAGGATGTCCGTGCAGCCTCCGCATCGAGATGCTGCTTAAAGCGCCGAGTGCGTTTGGATGCTGCCAGCCTCGGCGGAAGGCAGAGCCACCTCCTTAAAACACATCGATATCCAGGAGCTCACTGCAGAAACGCCTTATGCATATACATGAAGCGCAGGCGGAGTGTCGGGAGCTGTAGTGTATGGGACCGGTACCCTACGGTGCCACATACCCCACCGAGGCTCTTATAAAACACCTTGAATGTAAATGATGCAAAACCTAAAATGGGACAGTAACAATAGGCGGTGTTGTGACCTGTTCGTGTTCGAAATGGTGTTTTTTTTAATGCACAGGGTTGGAAAATGAATAAATGGCTTCGAAAATAAATGGGAAATATTTTCGATTATTCAGTGCGCACGCAGACAGCGAGCTTTCCCCAAGAGACACACAATGGGACTGCCTGAAAGCAGCCCTGCACTTTGTATTTCAGGGCTGGGGGACTTTTATTGGAACAGCCATTTCTATGGTGGATTCGCCTCTTGTAACGCATTTCACTGCTTTTTATCTTTAATATACGCTCCTTGATAAATCAATATTACACATAAGGGAATTTACAGTTGTACTAAAAGTAACCTTTGTTGCTGCTGTTTCACATTAAATAATTAGAACCTAAACCTGCCACTGAAACATCAGAACCCCGAAAATGTTTGCGCATCTCTTGCCAAGAGTCTCATACGACGTCCATTATCATACGAACAGGGAGCGTAAACGGGCGGGCTGATGAGCGGACGCTTCCAGTCTCAGCGTTGCTCTCGTTGCCCTTGAGTTCGTTGCCTTATCCAAGCAGATACCCCTAAATATTTAGTAAAGAGGTTTAGCTTGAGAAAATCGGCTGAAGAACGTTACGTAAACAACTTGGGTCTGGTCTGCACTCCAGCTTTGGTGTAGGTTACTCTAAAAACACGGAGCTTAAAGCTATTTTCAACCCAATTCTAAGCGAGCACCGTTAACAGGCTAAACAGGGCAAATGAAGCCTCTTTTGATAGGAAACTTTAAACCGTTGGCAAGAAATCAAACAGCAACTGACAATATTACAAGTAAAAGAGGGTAGTGGGGGGGGGGTTGGTCAGGGAAACAGAGGCAAGACAGACCGTAGCCATGGAGTCAACACTGGGAGGGCCAAGGCCAACATTATATATAGGGTGGTGGGGGGTGCATTGTGAGCACATCTGAATATTGGGGGGACATGTCCACCCCCCCAAAAAAATAACAGCCTTGGGTGTATGGCTGTGATCTACACCTATTCCAAGACATTACTACAAAATGCCGTTTGGTGACACAGAGACACTTAAATCCTTCATTTATAAAAAGGAATAAAATTAATTTACTGAACTGAATAATGCATGTCTCAGAACTCATGTTATCACAAGGAATATGCCTAATACCCTTGGATATTCTACAGATAGCAGCAAGCATTCATGCCTGGGTTGGGTCATCAAAGCAGAGCCTTGGAGGACACGACCCCACCTGTCAGCATCGGGGGGCCGTGCACGAGGACATGAAGGGTCCCACCTTCCGGCAGCCACCGCGCACGTTTGTTTTATATGACAATAACTGGTAAGGAAAAGCTGGTTTTGGGTAATCAGGTCAAAGCCACAGCTCAATTCTCGGAAGCAGCGGCCTCATTTTGGCCAGTTTGGTTTGCTGCCCTGTCTCAGACGAAACAGGGGAGTGGTCATTTTCCATTTTTAATTACCTTACCTCTGCACTACACACAATACAGGGCATAATACCCACACCTCTATTTTTTCTTCTTTTATATATTCATTAAAATATTTTTTCCAAGCATCTGCCATAATTCAAGAGCACAACATTCAAACAATCTCATATAGTAATTTCAGTTACATGGAGATCACACTGTTTTGAAAAGGCACCTGTCCGTGCTCCATGCCTGATACCAGCACCATAAATCAGTGTTTCCCAATCCAATCCTCAGGGAGCTGCAGACAGTCCACGTCGGGCAGGGAGCAAAAAGACAGACTGTCTGTGGGTCCCAGAAGGCAGGATTGAGAAACACTGGCATGAGTTATTCTCTGTACAGGAATACAGGAGCAGTCATTCCTGCCAGTATGATTTGATTGACAGACATTCAGTTGAGCAAACAGAACAAGAAGTGAAGCCCTGTCATAAACACAGCAGGGGAGCAGCTTCCTGCAATGTCTGTACCGGCATTCAAATTATTTCATTTTTTATACATGTAAAGAAGTCAAGAGGTAAGGCCACTATCAGAACCTCCAAAGTGCAGTCACTGGATTTCAAACCCCTTGAAATCCCATTCCATGTCTTCGCTGGACTGAAAGAGTTGCCACAGCACACCAGTTAAGGACTCCGCATTTTTAAGAGGTCCCTCTGAAGCTCGGACAGTTTTCCGGCGCCTTCTGACACTGCAGATCTTCCTTTGCAGTTTCTCGTCGGGGGGCCACTGCGATTCACTGAGATCGCTGCTCGTGGCGCACAGAGTCACTGCCTCGCGCGTCGCTCTTGCCATCTGGACCCTGTTCTGCAAAGTCCTTGCCGCATCCGTGTGGTCAGTGCTCGTCGTACTGATACTGACCACATGGGAAAGATGAAAAGCGCCCACAGTGTCCAGTGAAACAGAACCGTTTCTGTTGGCTTTCCTGTCTGCCGTCTCCTCCCTGTTATGTCCTATTACTGCCACGCTGTTGTCAAGCTGCTGTCCAGAGGCTGACGCGAGAGTTCGATCAGAGGTGCTACTTTGTGCCAAGTGACACGGGCAGTTGCCCTGTTGCGCTGCGACTGCAGGCCCGAGCACACGTGTTCTTTCACGTCTACGGGAATGCGCCACTTCGGGGCCGCAGCCGCCAGCGAGAGCCTCATTGCTGCGCTTCCTCGGCCTACAGGAGGCTGAGGGCTCCCAGGCGGAGGCCCAACAGGAGGCTCCCTTAGAAGCATGGCCTCCTCCGGTGTCCTGGAGCCTTGGCGCACACACTTCTCTCCTATCCTGCAGGGCCAGTTTTGGCATAGAAACTTGGACAGCAGAGGAAACACTGCACCCTCCCCTGTGTGACAGACAATGCGCAGAATCATGACTTCCCAGCGGGACTTAAAGTGACATCATTGCTGCATCAACCACAAAGATTATCCATATTACCTTTTCATTTGTTTGATCTCAGTAACATCAAACTCCATCCCTGAGATGAGTTGGTCCACAACATCGTAGGCGTCAGTCTTGGAAAAGGCTTTATGGTGCTCTGTGCTGAGGTGCTGCAAACAATCGGGAGAAATCCCATTATTCCGAGGAACACACTGAGCAGTGTGATGCCCTCGGGTCATAAGAACGTCACCTACCGTCCTCAGAGCTTCGTATTTCACCCGGCAGCACTCACAGTATCCACCAAGCTTCTTCTCCTTCACCTTGTGAGGTCTAACATTGTCGCCATCCTGACTTCCTGCAGATTTCTGGTTTTTAAGCCTGACAGGAAAAATGACCAAATAACCCCTGAATTAGAGTTTAGATTCTCTGCCCGAGGCCGAGCCCAGACTTGACCCGACCTGACCCGTGGGCCGGGTCGGGCCGATATTTCCTGCCACTATCTTCGGGCCGGGCCGGGCTGGGCCATGATCAAGCATTTGTGTGTGTGTTTTTTTTTTAAATCATTACTTAATTAGCCTAATTGGGTGGAGAGCTATGCCATAATTATAAATGTAGCTCCCTCCCGTAAGACACGAGCACAAGAGTCCTTTGCATTTAACTGAGCCGACGGTTTATTCGAAAGACAGTGGCTTCGTTATTATCACCATCATGGCAGACGTGAGAACTAAATACACATACGGAAACACAAAATCAAG